TGGACAAACTTACCTTTAACTCAGAAAAACTTTAGCTCCAGAACTAGCAAATATTGATTTCTAGACCAGGATGGTTTCCATTCCCTTTAATCTAGTCCAGGAACAAAAATTCAGAAGTCTATCTGTGAATGATGAGGTGGTGCTGACGGTGGTTATAGTTGCTTTTTAGTGCTGATGATCAAACCCAGGGCCTCGTGCATGCTAGGCAGGTGCTCTGCCACTGAACTACATCCAGCCCTTTATCTACCTGGCTATTTTATTGTGATGGCAGAGATCAAATCTAGGACCTCACATATACCAGGCAAGTGTTCTAAGGTTGAGCCACAGTCCCAGCCCTATCTGTGGATTAGTTTAGCTACTTCTGATGCTAGAACAGTAATGAACAAATAAAGGCAAGCTATTTGCCTTAAAGAGACATGTTTTGGTCATCAGATTTACACTGGCTGCTCAAAAGTTTGCACTAGTCAGTAAGGGGCAATGGGTGCTCGCCTGTAATCCCAGCACTCGGGAGGCTGAGGCAGGGGGACTGCCCGTGAGTTTGAGGTCAGCCTGGCCTACATAATAAGTTCAAAGCCACGCTGAACTTCATAGAGACCCTATCTCAAAAAGAAAACAAACAAAAAACAAGTTTACACTATTCTAGTACACTACTTCAATTTATTATTTTTTAATATTTTGGTTTTTTTTGACACAGGGTCTCAATATGTCACTCAGGCTGGCTTTAAACTCATTATATAATATCTAGGCTGGCCTAGAACCCACACTTCAGCCTCACTGCTTCCTGCCTCAGCCTCCTGACTGCTTGCATAGGTACGTGCCACCACACCTGGCTAGTATGTCAATTTAGTCAATATATGTTTTCTGAGCTTCTATTATGTGCCAGGCACTATGCTAGGCTTTGGAGATTTTCAGGTGAATAAGAGAGCCTTTGCCTCCAAGAGTAAGAAATATAAACCAGGTGTGGTGGCACATGCCTCTAATTCCCACATTTGAGAGGCTAAGGCAGGAGAATTTCTATCAGTTCAAGGCCAGCCTGTGCTACATAGTGAATTCAAGGCCAGCCTGAACTACATAGCAGACTGTCTCAAAAACAAACAAACAAAATGTACAGGGGAGGCCATACATATGCACATAGTTACAGAAAGCATATGCAGATTCCATGTCATATGCGAAAAGACAGATACCATGGGAGCATGAAAATGGCAAGACTGATATGGGGTGCTGGAGGAGGCTCTTTGATGAGGCGTGGCCTAAGGACTTCTTAAAAGATAAGTGACGTGTTTTCCCAGGAGCAGCATGGGGTGGATGTGTGTTGAGCAGGTGCAGGCTGGGCAGTATGGTGGGGCAGTGGACAGGACCAACTGTGTGAGGTGTGCCGGTGTTCCACACTAAGTGCAAGACAGGGCAGGTTAGGTCAGGCATGGTGGCGCACACTTGTAATCCCAGAACTCAGGAGGCTGAAGCAGGAGCATTACTGTGAGTTCGAAGCCAGCCTGGGTTATAAAATGAGTTCAAGGCCAGCCTGAACTGCGTAGTGAGACCCTATCTTAAAAAGACAAAAAACAACAACAAAAAAAAAATAGGGCAAGGTTTGATCTCAGACTTCCTAGCCATATCAGAGAGCACGAATTTACATGTTCTAGGAGAGGCTTTGTATAAAATTAAAAGGAGAAAGTTCACTGAATTAGTACAGCATTCTAAAATCATCTAGGGACTGGGGGAGTAGTTCAGTTGTAGACTGCAAGCTGAGGATGCTCGAAGCTCTGGGTTTAATCCCTGGCACCAAAATAATAACAATATCACTACAGACTTTTTTGGGTGAACCCTGAGTGGAGGAAAAGAAGTGGGCAGGGAAGCTATTGAGAGATGAGGAGAGCGCGAATTACGAGTGTGTCAGAGGTGGCAGAGTGAGGAAATGATGAAGACACCAAGCTGGCAGCAACTGGAGGCCAGCAAGGTATGGGATGAGGAGAGCTAGGCCAGCATGGTTGGTGGTGCCAATAAGCAAGAAGAAAAATTCACAAAAAGCCTTCCACCTGGGAGAAGTGGAGAGTGCAGTGCAGAGTGGAAGGAGAATGAGTTTGGCTTATGGTCTGCTGAGTAGAAGGTATCCATGGACATTGAAGTGGAAATACCTCCTTGGGAGATCTGGGAAAGATAGGAGCATAGGTGTGGGAACCAAATGGATGCATTCATTAGACTGACTGGGGCAATATACAAAGTGCGAGGAAACGCCGGCTTGTGACACCCAAAGATATACCAGCATTTCAGTAAGCAGGCAGAGGAGGAGAAATCCAAGCCAGCTTTAGCCTGACACTAAAAATGAAACAACCTGGTGGGCCAGGCATGGTGGTGCATGCCTGTAATCCTAGTGCTTGGGAGGCTGAGGCAGGAGTGTAAGGCCAGCCTGAATTGCATAGTGAAACTCTGTCTCAAAAAGACAAAAAACAAAACACAAGCAAAAAAAACCAGACTGGTGATATATTTCCCTTCCATGATAAAGACTATGCTTACAATTGCTGGCCTTGACTATTGTACTTTTAGTGATCACTTGGAGGCCAGAGGTATAGCTCAGCTAGTGCTTGCCCTGAGTTTGATCCCCAGCACTGCAAAACAAAGCAAAACCAAACCAAACCAAGCAAAAAACCCAAAACAAACAAAAGCCAACAAAACCCCTTAAAACCAAACCAAAAAATCATTTGTCTATTGTATCTCTTGACTAGAAAATTAAATTCTATTTAGCACGATTATCAACTCAAGGACAATCAAAAGATTTAATTTGTGCTCTTGGAAGTCCTACAGGCAAACCTTCAAGTTTGAAGGCAAGTGACATGACCCAACTCAGGTCTCTTCTTGGATTAAACATTTCCAGTTATTTCAATAGTTCCTTCTGTGAAAATGTCTAGCCTTCTCTAATGGTCTTCTGGACACACTGCAGCATGTCCATCAACATAGCCAACAATACTCTGGCAATATTCTAACTTGTGTATTCTAACTGGCAGTATTACTTTCCTTGTTTTGAAGACCTTTTTTGGTGGTACTTGGGATGGGACCTACAGCATCATGTTACGCAGGTGGTCAATCAATGAAATACATCCTTAGCCTTTTGGAGACAGCATCTCAGTTGTGCAGGTTGGCCTAGAATTAATGATTTTCCTGCCTTGTCCTCCCAAGTAATTGGGATCTTTACAGTCTGAGTCACCACATGCGGCCCAAAGACATATTTTATTATTTCTTTTTGAGACAGGGTCTCACTACATTGTTCAGCCTAACCTCACACTCAAATTTACAGTGATCCTTCTGCCTAAACCTCTTGAGAGCTGGGATTACAGGCACAGGCCACCAAGACAGGCTGAAGACTACATTTCTATTAAAGCATCCTACAATTAGCAACCAAGTTACACTGTTAAGCTATCTGGATACATAGTTACACTGCCTTTTCTTCCAATAGAAACTTGTAACCAACCCTCTCCCCTCTGCTTCTATGGTTGATTTCTTTCTAGCCTATATGTTTTTCACATTTCTGCTTTCATTCACTCACAGGAAAAGCTTTATTCTTGTGGCTTTATGGGGCTGAAATGGCCAGGACACCTGATAATGGGGCGGGAAGGACAATCATAGACAAACGTGGAGCAACTGTCAGGCTAGGATGAATGGACTCCCCAGGAACTCCAAACTTACTGGAGCGTCTTGACCTAGCTATGGCTTCTAGTCTTTCCTCAGATTGCAAGTTTAACACAGAAGAGAATTAAGGTGTTCTTTTGTTTTAAGACAAGGTCTTGCTATGTAGCTCAGGCTGGTCTTGAACGAACTGGCTGGCCTCAGCCTCCCAAGTGCTGGGATTACAGGTGTGCCACCATGCCTGGCAGCCACTGTCTTTCTGACCGGTTAATTCTATTTCTTTTTGAATTGCTTATTTAGTTCATTGTAACTGAATTTTTTTGAGACATAGTCTCATTATGTAGTTCAGGCTAGCTTTGAACTATTAGCCCAGGCAGGTCTTGAACTGGTGGGAATCCTTCTGCCTCAGCCTTCTGAATGCTGGGATTGTAAGTGTGCACCACCATGCCTGGCTCCATTCTCTTCTGAAACCTCTAGATGCCTAGGAATTCAGGTTCCTTAAATGGCAGAAGACAGGGCCTCAATCAACTCTGAGACTATCCCTTAAGCAAATGGATAATTCTCACACGTAAGAGATATGGCATAGAAGTCAACCTCAAAAAGACAGGTAGGATTACCATGTGGTATGTGTAGCTGAATGCTGAGGACATGAATCCTTAATGGAGACCATATGCTCCATTTTGGGCTTTTCTTCCCAAAAGAGGGAGGACTGCCATGCGTCCACCACCCCTGAAGCCATGTCTCTGGACTGGTTCCTACCATTCCTTCACTCAGGAGCATATTCCTGTTTATGTCCTGTCAATGGGCAGGGGCTGACTGTTCAAGTGGGTTTGCTGGAGCCAAACTTCCTGGGTTTGGATCATGGCTCCACCACTTACTGGATCATGTCAACCCATCTGTAAAATGGAATTAAAACAAGATAGATCTTAAAATCTGTGAGGGAAAAACATGTTAATATAAATCACTTAGAACATGGCAAAGTACATCTTATGCCCATTACTTTGTGTTCTCTGGCTTGAAAACAGTTCTAATACAAGTACACATATGTTCTCTATTGCTTACTTGGCCTGCCTGGTATAGATAAGTCAAGGCTGACTGTTAGCAACATGGTAGAAAACAATTACTTAGGCTCCAAGTTTCTATTGACTGGGAAGACAAGGTAGTTTCCTCCTGCATACACTTTATTCACACATGCTGTCTCACTAAACATACCACACAATCTCAGAAGACGGCTGAGGGGCAGTTAGGGTTGGCAGGGCAATCCTTGCTTCTGGCCTTGTCCAAGAGCCAGGAGCAAGAGTGGGGCAAAAGAGGCAAGGGTGAGGATGAGGCAATGCGCAGTGTGGGAGGCAGCTCGCAGTGAGGCAGGCAGGCACCGGTTCTAGCCAATTGACACTTTATTTTTCCACCTGACAGTTGCACAGACGTAACTATCCACTTCCTGATCCTAGCAAAGGGTTCCACTCATGACCCAGAAGAGCAGGTTTCCTTCCTTCTCCCTAAGACAGCACCCAGCACTGGCACATGTGCCATGGGATCTGCTCTCCTGCACTGAGAAAGGGCTGAACTAAGGAAAAGGTGCAGTGGAAGTTACTGAGGCTACAGTGACCTATGTGGGACACGCTGGCCTGATCACCCACCACTAGGGCTTTATTCTTTACTTCCCAGACCAAGAGCTGCTCTAAAGCTTGGCCAGTATATGTGGGAAGGAGAAGCTGGCAAAAGGTAGGGCTACACTGCTAAGGACAGGACACAGCAAGGAAATAAAGCCAAGAGGAACAGGAGAGAAAAATTATAAAGTGCCTCAACTAAACAACCATGGGACATGAGGGCAGAGCAGCACAGGTCCCTGAGGATAGGAAGAAAAAGAAAGGGCTAGACCAGCAGGGCTTGGGACACAGTGGAATGAGAGAGATGAGGTGAAGAGGCAAGTGTAGGCTGTGGGAAGGACTTCCCTAGCCCTGTTCACATGGAAAATTATTTACAAACTCAAAACCAATCCTAGGCACAGGTACTGCACCAGGCCCAGGACAGCAGGCAGAGGGTGGGCTGGCTACTGTCTGACAGCTGGCCTCCCCACCCGGTGCCCCTCCCCAGAGTGGTAGGGAAAGGAGACAGTGACAGCTCTAGCTAGGAAGCCTTACTCTGCCTGCAGCTCCTTCTCTCATGGCTCATGGCTCCATCACAGCCCCGGCCTCTTGGTCTGACTGTATCAGGGAATGGGTGTCTGGCCCCAGGGGAGGAGGAGGTGGAGCATCAGGTGGCTTTGGGGGTGTCTCTGGTCCCAAGCCCAGCTCTGCATTCAGCTGCTCCAGCTCTCCCTGATCCAGCAACTCAAAGTCCTCAGTGGCAAGTGCCTCTTCTTCCTCAGGGGCAGGCAGGGGGTGGGGCGAGTCCTGGGAAATAGGTGGGGGCACGGAGGGGGAGGGGACTGGGTCACTTTCATCATGGCAAAGTGGGGGTGTCAGGGTGCTGGGTGGAGCTGTGAGGTCACCACTCACTGCCTCTGGGCTCAGTGTCTCCACTGGTCCTCCAGGGGAGCACTGCACTCCATCCTGGGGGGTTCCTGCCCCATTGAAGTGTGTGTTCACAAAGTGCAGAGGAGATGAGAGCCGAAGCAAAGTCTCCTTCACTGCCACATCTTCCTCTTCCTCCACTGAGTCCAGGGCTTGCCTTGAGAGGACCTGAGGGGGGCCTAGCAGGTCTTCAGGGGGTGCCAGCTCTGCCTCTTCTCCCTCCCCCAGCTCCCGGCCCAGGGCCTCCTCTGGCTCGCTTGGTAGGCTCTGTTGGTCCAAATCTGCAGAGACGACAAAGTTAGGAATGGGCCTGCTGCTCTGATGCCCCACAACGGCCAATCAGTTCACAGACGAGAACTTCAGATCTGACAGGCTTTAGGGGTAAGGTCAGTTCCCCAGAGGAAACAGGGGAGCCAAAGAACATAATTAGCACCCCACCGCAGAGAACAGTAAGATCAGGAGGAGTGAAGAACCCCCCATACCCTCAGAGACATCTGTTAGTTGTGGAGTTGTGGCCCGAGATACAGAGAAGCCACCACTCTCCAAGATAGAAGCTTCTTCATCTGACAACTCTGAGTCAGTAATGGCCAAGGCCAGTGCTGTTTTCTTCACATCCACCTGCAGGAGAACCAGAATGAACACAACAGGTAAAGGGGAACAGCAACCTAGTCCCACCACTAGCTCTACTCCTCTGAAAGGAAGCAGCTCTAAAACAGATAGAACCCTGTATACCCCCAACCCCACTTTCTATTTGTCACCCCCATCTCCCTTGAACCTCACCACTGGGGAGAAGCCAGCCAGCTCTGCCTCACTTTCACTCTCTGTCTCTGCCAGTGGCTCATCACCTCCTGGGGGTGCGTTCTTCCCTTGCCGCTCTGGAGAACAGCAATAAGGCAGTGACCAAACAAAGACACGGCCAAGGAACAAAAGATTACCTAAATGCCAGGGCATGTCATGAACGGTAAGCCAAGGGCCTCCCTCACTTTCCCTCTTTCAGGTTAAGAGAGACCCTTACTCCTCTTGTCATGTTTGTGATGCAGGGCATCAGCTTCCGCCTTCATGCTGTAGTCCAGCTGCATGAGCAAGGGCTCGAGGCGCGTGTACATCCTCTGAATCAGCTCATGATAAACCACCAAGGGCCACAGCAGGATACTCAGCACTGTGGGTTAGAAAAATCCACTCAGAGATCCCTATACCAATTTCCTAAGAGTCCTCATTCAACTGGCCCCTAAACAGGAAGGGCTAAAGTCCTTTTCCAAGGCAGTGCTACCCTCTCCCCTCCCCCTATAGCTATTGTCCTCCTCTGGGCTGATTCTTCAACTATTGACAAGGGTGTTCTACAGCAGCCCTGGCGATCTCCACGAAAGTGTAACTGTGCACACAGAACACAGTTCTCCCTTCAGGTCAGTCCAGGAAACAGGAAAAGCAAAGAAGTTTGGGAAGGGCAGGGCTAGACTCTATACTCACAGACAATGTAGGAAATCATAATCCCTGGAACATAGTGTCCCAGCACTGCCAGCACAGCACACCCAGAGCAGACTCGAGCACAGAACTGCAGAGAAGAGCACAAGGTCTATGAAAAACAGTGGGTGAGGTTATGTGCTTCATTCGTCTAAGTAAAAAACTGCTCAGCTGGTGAAAAAATATATATTTTCTCTAGGAATTTAGTCTAATCAAGAAGATGCCCCAACCTCCAATACAGGAAGTATGAAATAGGCCCTGCTCACAATACTGCTCCCTCCACCCCTCCAGGAACTGTGGCTACAGGATTTGTTGTAGATCATGGGGAGCTTACTTGAGCTGGATTCTGCCTCTTGTACTGCAGCAGCTCTTGTAGGTGAATCTGGAAGGTGAGCCAGCTCTCAGCCAGGTATCTGCACAACTCGGGCACACTCAGCAGGTGCGGCCGGGCGCCTGACCCCGCACCCTCACTGGGGAGACAGGACATGACCCCTAGAGGCCTCAGACACCAGCTTCCTAGGCACTCAAATTCCTCTGAGACTGCTGATCATGAGTCTAAAATAGAAAACTCCACTTCCCAAAGGAAGGCCATCCCCATCCTGTAAAGCAAAAGCCCAGGGCACCCAACCCTCTGCCTCAAAAGAAGCAGGCACATAAATACCTACACAGGCACCTAGGACCAAAAACACTCTCTGGTTTGTGGCCAGTCCCTTCACTATGCTGGGACCTGTGCCTACAGAAGCTGCATCATTGCCCCTCTTTGTGATGAAATTGCACCAGTAGGCAAAACTGGACTTGGGCATCCATCTTTGAGGGTTGATACTCACCTGTCAGAATGTGGCTCCTCAGGGGATGACGCTACACAGAGAGAGGGAAGACAAATTATTGCATGGTAGGGGTACTGGAGACATTCCCCAGGGCAGCAATAATTGCTGTTTCTCTGCAGTCATAGAGTACTTTTTTTAGACACCAGCTGGAAAGTATTGCATATTGTTTCTGTATCTGTTTCCTTTTTTCCCTTCCAGCACTGCAGATTGAACCCAGAGAATTGTACTTTTTTAAAAAAAACTTTGAGACAGGGTCTTGATGAGTTGACCAGGCAGGCCTCAAACTTGCAATCCTCCTGCCTCAGCCTCCCAGCAGCTAGGATTACACATATGCACTACTGTACCCAGTCCGTGTCCTCTTACCCATGCTTGTATCCCAAGTAATTCAACCTTATACCTAGTTGCCCTAAATTACATATTTATACACCGAAAACAAGAACCCTGAATATTTGTGTAACTCTTATCATGATCAAGACAGTAACATAACGATGTAACACGTGTTGACATATTTAATCTTCATAGCTCAATGAACATTTCCGTCCATTGTTTTACAGCTAAGAAAACTGAGGCAGATATAGAGACTGTTTAAAAGATCTCTCTCTCTCTCTCTCTCTCTCTCTCTCACACACACACACACACACACACACACACACACGGAAAGCATCGCAGAGCAGGGCATAGAACCCAAGCAATCTGGCTGCAGACTCTTCAGTCTTGCCCAACCAAACATGAACATTCAATTTTGAAAATGGATTCTCGTTTTAGACAATTTCTTAAAACAGGATGGTGCGGCGGGGAGTGGGCCTGGAGGCAGGCGGCCTGCTGTTCATTCCCCTCACTGTTCAACCCCTCTCAATGAGGTCAGGCACAAGGAGCACAAGGGGTGCTCGCTGGATGATGAAAGACTCACCTGAGACATCGGGGAGGAAGCGAGGCTGCCAGAGATCCAGAAGAAAATAGGCCAAAATCGAGACGCTGAGAAGGAAGATTGGCCGGAAAGACGATGAAGACAGCAGCCTTAGGGAGAGACAGGAATCTCAGGGCAAAGTGTGTGTGAAGCAAAAGCGCTCACTGATGGGGGAACAGCACCTCCAGGCCTAACTCTCCACGCCGAAGTAGAAGAATGGGGCAACCTGAACGCGTGTCAGAAGCTAATGGATGGATCATTCCCGCAAGCCAAGTGACAGCCCAGACGGAGGACCCGCGCGCCCCGCGCCGTCCGCCCCCGCTCTCCCGCGCAGCCCGGCCCCGCCCCCTCCTCCACGGCCGTTACCAGAAGAGGCCGTTGATCGCGGCCGCCGTGACCAGGCTGTGCAGTGGCTTCTCCCACACCAGCAGCCGCTGCGCCGCCGCCAGCACCGCCTCCCAGCCGCGGAGCCGCAGCCACAGCGTCGTGGCCAGGCGGCCCACCGCCTCGGCCGTGGCCGCCTCGTCTTCCGCCTCGCCGGTGGTCTCACCCATGCCGAGGCTCAGGCCGAGTCCCAGGCCCAGCCCAGCACCCCCACTCGCGCCGGTGTTACCACCGCCGCTCGCCATAGCCCCGCCGCAGCCGCCGCCCGAGCCCGCAAGGAGCCAGGGCTGCGCGGCCGCCGCCGGGGGCGCGTCAGGCGGAAGGGGGCGCACGCCGAGGAGTGCTGAGGCTGCGGCCGCGCATCACGTGACGGAGCAGCGCCGAGTCCGTCACGTGATGCAGTCTAACAGCCCGGATGGGCGGCTCGCGCGTGCGCATAGAAAGCTGCGTGATCTTGCACCTTCGCAGGTGCGTGTTTTGGTTTACTGGAGTCGCGACTCGGGGCCAGGTTTCAGGCGTGCAGCCTTCTTTTTCCCTGTGCTTATACTAAGGCAGCTAAGGAGCCTCTGCTGGTGTGACCCCGATGTGACTGAGACTGAAGGGGCAGGAAGTGGCCTTCCGATGTCCCCTGGTAGGACCTACAAGCTGCTTGGAGAGGGCGGTGGCCATCGCATTACTCAACCCTCGACTTGTCCTCCTAGCTCCCTCCCCTCAGCGTGTACACAAATTCCAGCGCGTGACTGACTCGAAAACAGCTTCATCCACTTAGAAAAGTTGCTTCCTCTTTTTGTACACCTCTGTTGCGCCTCCACGCATCGGCGCTCCTTCCTCCCCGATCCTCCCACGTGAGACTGGAGGCGGGAAGTGAGTTTGAAGGTTAAACCTTGTTTAAATGCTGTTTACTGTGGGAGCCCTTAGCGCGCAGGATGATAATCCCAGCACTCAGCTGGTTTAGAAGGATCCCCGCGAGTTCGAGAGCAGCCTGAGTTACATAGTAAGACCCTGTTCAAAACAAATTCCTAGGATACAGGGGACACGATGACATCTGTTTGGCGGCTTCGTATTCGAATCCTTGAGGTCATTTACTTGTTGCAATGACCTGGCAAAACACAGTATGTATTGAATGTGATTTAGAATGTCAAGCTACTAAAAAACAAACAGTGAAAAGTTTCCCTTTCACTTGGTTCACAGTTCTTCCACCGGTAAATTTCGTGTGGGTTCTTTCGAACTCCTTATTTATCTTCACTGCTAAGTGTACCTTTCCTTTAAAAAAGCAAAACAAAACTAGGTGTAACTTGCTGGGCTCCCTCTCCTTTTACTGATGTTAACATCTGCACAGATGCGAAAAGGTCTGCCTGGCTTTTTCAAGCTCAGCGCAGCGAGTCCCCCTGGGAGCTGCACCCGTCTCTCACGCTCTGCTCTGTGCCTCGGTGAGGCCAGGAGTTCGGGGCGGGCGGGGGACACTTCCTGCCGGGCGCTGAGTCGCCGGCGACACGCCCGCGGCTGTAAACGCGGGGCTGACGCGGCGCGGGCAGAGTACAAGCCCGGCTGCCGCTGTCCCCACTTCGCGAGGTGAGCGCGTCTCCCGGCGCCCTGGGCGGAACAGGAAGAGGCGCCCGCCCGGCGGCCCCGCCTGCCGCTGCCGGCGCGAGGGGAGGGGACCGCGAGGGCGGTGGCCGGCGGCGGGGAGGCAGGCGGGCAGGTGGGCCGGAGGGCGAGGACGGCCCCGCGAGGCCCCGACAACTCCTTCCCTCCACCTCCACCTTCGCAGGGCGGTGGCTGGCGGCACGATGGACCTGGCCGGGCTCCTACTGGACGAAGAAGGCACCTTCTCCCTCACCGGCTTCCAAGACTTCACGGTGAGCGCGCAGCCCGTCCCTCCCTAGCCTCCTGGCGTTTGGTGTCGGCCCCGGCCGCTCACTCCCCGCCCAAGCAAGATAGCTGGCTTGCTTGATGGTTTTGCCCGGGCCTGGGTGGCAGCCGCTGGAGCAGCTTCTACTTGAGGCCCCGGCTGCTCGGGCCCTGAAGCAGAATCACGGGGTGTAGGGAGAGAGGGAGGGGTGGCAATACTGGGGCCCCTTTTGGGAGACCCTTTCCGGGAAGCCCTCAGAGGGAGCGACGTATCTTCCCTCCCCACATGGACTGAACTGCCGTTGGCAAACAATCCGGAGAACTCCGAGCTGGGTGGGGCTTGCGCCCCTGGCAGCTAAGCAGCCGCAGCCATCCAGCCCAGAGCCTGGCTCTCCATCATATCCTTCCCTGCCCTTCACCCTCCACCACCCTCTTGCCCTGTTTCAGTTCCTCCCAGGACACCAGAAACTGAGTGCCCGGATCCGAAGGCGACTGTACTATGGCTTGGACTGGGAGGCCGACTGCAGCCTGGAGGAACTCTCCAGCCCCATGGCAGGTTAGGCAAGTGTTGTGCGAGTGGGCAAGTGAGAAGCTTAAGAATGGGGTTGTGGACAGTCACCCATATGCCTCCAGGTTTACCTTCTCAACTGTATTGCTCCGTCAGAGCTAGCTTACTGGTACTTGGTTCAAGAATGCAGGTTATGTTTCACATTCTCTTAGCTCTCATGAGCAAACATCTCATGAACTGGTATAAGAGGTTTTTTTGTGTCTGTGATGCTGGGGATTGAACCCAGGGCCTCCTACATGCTAGGCAGGTGCTCTACCACTGAGTTACATCTTCAGCCCTTTGTTTTGATTGGTATTCCAGAAACTTTTAATTTTCTAAGGACATTCATTGTATTATTTTCTTTCTTTCTTTTCTTTTTTCTTTCTTTTTTTTTTTTTTTTTTT